GGCTACCCAACCTCCCTAAAATGCATTTTTCAATAAACGGTATTCTTCAAAAAAAATATAAAGATTCCCGGGGGTCCTAGAAAAACCAAACCCGTAAATACCCGTAAAATATATTAATCCACCCCCCAAAATAAAAGATCCTAGGGGTTAGATATCCCGACCCATAGATCCTACATTTAACGTACACGTCAAATAATTTATTAGGGGGGTCCTAGGGAACCAAATTCTTAGAAAACGGTAAATAGATTTTTTTTAACCTAACCTTTCCCCCCTAAAATACATTTTTAGGGGTGGGTAATCCAATTCTGCATAATACAACAAAAATTAATACGACCCGCCTAAGAAGCTCCGCTCCACCTAATTATATAATTAAAAGCGGCAAAATCGATACGACTTAATACCCTAACTATATCATTTAAAAACAAAAAACATAAATATAGTTTGTATGTATTTCCAAATTATATAACTATATTACTATATTATATATTATTATTAATAATATATATATAATTATATATATAATTATATATATTTAATTATTTTTGGATACAATACATATTGTAAACATTTATATTTGCACATTTGTTTTATGATGATTTACATTGATTCAATTTTTGAAATCAATATTTTTCTTTTAAATTCATTTGTCTTTCTTGTCTTCCTTCTTCTCTTCCTCCTTGTCCTCCTTGTCTTTCTTGGCAACTTTCTTCGCATCACCTTTCTTCTTGTCATCCTGTGATGAAGCAAAAAGGACAAAGACAACAATCAGGACATTGAGAAAGGTGATTGATTAATTAGTGCCATCCCCTTGACACTAAATGTCCGCTTAGACCTTTTGCTTTAGCATTGTATCTATTCTTTTTTGGGTCCCATATGGATGAGACTAGTTTCAAAACCTCTCCCTGCCTTGATTTCTGGCGGCCCTGGTTCTCCGCGCAATTTCCTGCATCTTCCCATTAAAGCATCATTAGCCTATGAAGAGGACAAAACAAAGCCAACACATGGATGATGGATAATTGATAATGGATGATGTATTCCATCCATTTGTTGCTACATTTGAGTTCAATGGAAAAAGACATTGGCTCTGCTTTACGGTACATGGATGCAACATGGATTGACATCTTGACGGCAGGTAGAGTGTAAACGCGCCCAAACAACATTTTTTCGAAGTTTCCTGAGCAACCACTGAACTGCATAGTAAAGTGGCACCTTGGATGCAGCAGGGTGGCAAATGGTCAATGATGAGCTGGCAGAATCTAAGCCCTCAGCAGGCAGTGCAAAAACCAAGAAGAACCTCAGTCGAAGCCGTCAAGCTCTCACCTCTGGGGGAAATTTATTTTCAACTTTTTATGGTATTAATGGATTACCTTAATATATATAGCGTATAACTAAAACAGCTGGCCAATGAATGTTTATTCCGCCTATGGATGCCCCCGAGGAGTCTGCGATGGAGGGCCTCGATTGTACCACTTGCTGTTGTATACAGCACCCCCAGCCTGACCCAGGCCGCTGTTCCCAGGTAACTTCAAAATCTCTGGTACCCAGCTCAGTTGGTGAAGCCATGGATTCTGTCCATCGGTCGTCCATCGCTGTCAGCCCACCTGCATCTTCAGCAAATTCCACGCCCAGGGAGACAAGTGCCTAACCTGAAAGCAAGTTCTCCATCCCGACACATTTTAGAACTCATCATTTCACCCCCACACTCAGTCATGTTGGTCACATGTTGGTCATGTTCGTATTGAATAGAGTGGGAGACCAGCAGTTAGAATTTGGAATCAATTGATTTCCTTTTAACCTAAAAATCCAGAGTTTTTTTTCCTTTACGACAGTTAGAATTTCCCGAAAAAAAACACCACAGATAGAATATGAACATATGTTCCATAGTAATTTAAGTTTTTGGCAACAAACATCAATGTAGTATGTTGGATTTCTTGCATACGTCATGCGAAAATCATGCAGATAGAATATGGAATATTAGCGATAATTCACAAAAAAAGAACGCCTTGTATCTGTAAGCTAAAAAAATCATATTCTATCTCCTGGTCTGCTTGAGTAATCTATATGTATGATAAGTGCAAATTATTGCAACTATGTGTTAGTTTATCATGTTGGAGGTGCGATTCTTGGATTTGGGTTGGGAGTCTAGACAATTGGATGATCAATTGTTATGGGTATATATGATTCATAATGCTCATATTCTAACTGCACTTGTGCCATATTCTAACTCCAGATGCGTTGGCTTTTAGAACAGTGTCCGTAAACCGTATTCTATCTCTGGTAAAAGATTTTTCATATTCTAAGTGCCTGTCACTCACAGTACCCTTCGCCCCAAACAATCTCATGTTCAAACCAAACAATTTCATCATTCTTAGATAGTTTTGATTGGTTCATGTCCCCATGTATCAGAATTTGCTTGATCAAACCATCCAATCCCACGGGGGGCTGCTGCCTGCTCCTTAACCTCATCACCTGGCAGATTTTCTCCAGTGAGTCTGCGCGGTGGTCCCCCAAAAATGTAAATCGAGACCCCCATCCAATCCCAAGAAAGGTAGCAAGGTACAATCCTATTAAAACATATTCAAACTAGATGGTCAATAAAGCACCATCTTTTTGGTGCTTTTCAATGGCTAAAAAAATACCACCATCCTGTTGCGCCAAACATGTCCAGCGAACTTGCTGATTCTTCCACCCAGGCCTTGGTGAAAATATTTTTCCATTTTGTTTTTAGATGGTTTTATTGTGTTTTATTCCCAACATGTTTTTAGGGGGTTTCCTAAAATGGGACTACTCCAATAGCTGGATGGTTAATGGAAAAGCCTCTGAACGTAGATGATTTGGGGCACCCCTATTTCAGGAAACCTCCATATGAGTCCATATATGAAAATTCTGCCTGCCGGCATATTCCCTGACCCGAAATGTGTCTAAGACCGGCGCTTCGGGCAATGGAGGAGGTTTTCTACCTGAATTGCACATGTGAGAAAGGGCAGTTCTTAGGTTCCAGATTAAGTTTTGAGAGTGCATCGGGCCTCTCTTCAAACCCATGGTCACGTGCTTGAACATCTCTTGTGTACGGGCAGTCTCACCTGTTTGGCGCATTCCCGCATCTTTCAATTTTCGCAGCATCGATGGACCTGACTTTACCCTGTTGCATGCATAGTTCTATTCTCAACTCATAATACTAACATTTTCCAACAAACCCAGCCTTCGTCCAGCCGCTTCCCCAAACAGACGGTTGCCATTCGGAACAGCGGCAGCTCAGCTGCCTGATCCGAATTGCGTGTAGTGTTGAGCTGAGCTGAGCTGATTTCAACATGTCCCAAAAACAACCCAAACATGCATATGGGCAATTTTCTCTCTCAACATGTGGGATAACTGGGATAACAAACTGATACACACATTTTCAATTCACCTTTCCCTTTAATTCTGGATCTTAGATATTTTTAGATATTTTTAGGAGTTAAATCTAAATCTCACCCTTCCCATGACCGTTCCCCACCTCTTCCAATGTCATGTTGTCCTCTGCGGCTCGCCCAACAGCTTCAAAGAGCTCCTTGGACAGAGAGCCACCTAAGCTTTCCGTCGCCATTGCGAAACCTCAGCTGTCGTCATGGCCATGTCGTGGTGACGTGGTGCGGTTGTGGGAAATCTTCAGTGGTTACAGCAGTTCACCCCTTTTTATAGCTGGGATTTATGGATGTGAATCAGTCCCCAACATATAGAATCGGTAGGCTGATCCATCCCCATCTCTAGGAAATTCTACAATGCTGAAAAGCCTCAGAGTCACATGCTGAATCAACTGGTACTGTGGGGACTGTGGGGCGCACAAGCTGCTACCCACGTGCTATCTTCCATTGCTGTCTGTTTGCGAGACCTGCCAGTGACTCATTGTTGCTGAATACGTGACTGTCATTACTGTTGCAGCCTGTTGCTGAGAAGTGCCACTGCTATTCACAGCTCCGAGATCTGCGAGCCTTTCAGCCTCTTCCTGCGATTTTTGTAACTGTTCTTGTCCTTCCTTCAGCCCCTGCCCCAAGGCATTGATAAAAGCATTGACTGCAGCAGTTCTGCGAAAGGACCACTGGGTGCGCCTGGAGTTGCTTCTCAAGGTCCTCCATCATCTGAAGAAATTCAGGATCAGCCTTGGCAATGTCAGAATCTTTCATGCCAACCCAGGTTTCGCAAACACCCAGATTATGAAATTTTAAGAGGTACCAAATTTGAATAGTCAAGTATGTAATCTAATTTATTACCATTTTTTGGGGAACCTGGTCAGCGTTAATCTGGGGTTGACATTGCTTCAACTTCAAGCCTGGTCAAAGTTTGGATCAACTCCCCCAAGACATCCAGTCTAACGAGTAGTCATATCTACCAATATTAATCAAGATTAATGTGGATCAACAACCTTAATATCAACAAATATATCACATGAATCAACTCCCTGCATATGGATCAATAATTGTTGATTACGTTGATTTAATCTTGCACTGGGGCTTATAAATGGATACGATAGAACAATGGTGATAACTTGATAACCTCCATAAGTTGGGATATGAACCCTCTAACTCTAACTATGGTTCTATATTCACTTAGAAGTGAAACCGCACCCCCAAGTCGTAATCCGAGCCGCAGCTTTCCCCTCTGCACTGGCCATCGCCTGAAAAACACGCCCACCAAAATCACCAAATACCACCCAAAATAGAGACGTCCACCACTTCATAGTAACCCCCAAAAAATAGAACAGCAAAATCCTCCTGAAATCGGGTAAGTCACTGTTTCTTTTTCTTGGGGGTTACGATCTTTTGGCAGTCGGGAAATATCTGGACAAGACCTGACTTGGTACCCGCTGTTTCGAAATCTGTTTCCAGCGGTTTCACTCATGCCTTGAGCTGCTCGAAGCGTTTCTCTAACTCTACAGCTGCTATGCCTTGGAGGGCCGTGGCATGGTGTCCTCTGAAGGATCTGAAGGAATGGAATTTTTCTTTGATATCCAGGACTGTGAGAAATCGCCGCAGCCCTTCTCCGGTGACGCCTGGTGCTTGTCTTGGACCCATGCTACCTTCTGGTGCCGCTTCGCCGGACCAAACGCCTACAGTAGTCTACAACAAAATGGGACCAAACGCATCCCCGAGAATAGCCCGTTTTTGGATGAACGTATGTAGTGTTCCAACCTCCTAATTTGGCAGAGTCTTCTTTGGTTGGGGGAATGGTGTAAAGTCCAACACAGCCATGATTTCGAAGAATCAATTAACGCTCTGTCTCATCTAGGATGTTGAAGGATGTTGAAGGATGTTGGTGTCCTTGAGCCGTCTCGACCAAATCTGAGGCACCCGCTGCATGCGAGCCTCACAAGCAGAAAAAACCACTGGATGCACCACTCTGTTTTGTTGCGCGTCAACAGACTTTAAACATCTTTAAAACATCAAAAACAGAAAGTCTGGGCAAGTTTGAGTCTTCGATTCTGAGCGAGCTGCAAAACAGCAAAGGCAAACATGGCAGACGGAGAATTTTTGCCTATGTGCCACTGCATAGCTTTAAGCTTGCTGGAACACATGACTTTACGCAAACAATGGTGCAAGATGGTGCAAGTCTAAAACAGTTGCAGTGCTGGATGTTGCTTTCATCATGAATCATTACAGCAATCATGGTGTAGCAATTTTTGTTGGGATGACCAATGCTCCTGGAAGACATGCCTGTTTGCACCGTACAGTGGTTTGCCTTTCAGTCCATATGTACCTTTATTCCTGGAATACATGGTGCTATTTAGTAATACATGATTAGAACGTAGCAATCATGTCTAGTTTCTCTGCATCTTTCTCGACTTGGCTTTCACTTTCACTCTTGAGACCTCAATCGCAAACATGTCGCAATGATTCGCAATGCATCCAGCACTTGTCATGTTCACCCCTAAGGTTGCTCACTGCCAGTGAAATCCGGCTACGAACACCTCCAGCACACTTTTTCTCTATGCCCGCGCTACAGCTGAAACCTCAAGGTCTTACGACATCCAAGCAACATCAGTTGCAACATGTTGTGTTGCACAATCTTTGGTGTTTGGGGACTGAATCCATCAAAAATCCAAAAACCCATACGTGCTAGGGGCAAACCATGATATGACTGATATGTATATTATGGTTAGGGTCATCCATCCCGTATTGGGAATCCATTTTTCATGTGTATGAATCCCTTTCTTCATGGATTGATGACTGTTCTACAATACGGGAAACCACCCCATGTTTTGACCACGAATTCAGACGATCCGTGACCAAACTCCAGACCCCTTAGAACGAGTTCCGCACTCGTGCCCCGACCTTGGTGTGGCCAAATTGCGATGCGAATCGTGAGCCAAATTGATATTCCCCAACTTTTCCCAACTCGACATGCGGGAGCCCACAATTTTTCTTGCACCGTGAGGCCACCGTCAGTTACCTTTGACTCAATTGACCTCTGTCATCGCCTCGGAACGAATGAAAATCACGAATGCTCATAGCCAACGCCGAAATCATTCACAAAGATCAATGTGACCCAAATATATTTATATTTTTTACATAGATTTACATAGATTTACCATGATTTACCAACCCTCCAGCATCTCAGCTCAGTAGATGAGACAAACTTGAAGAGTCTCCGAAAGTTCAGCAATCACATGAGCTGGGAATAAAGCTCCAAGACTACAGTAGTAAACTACGGGGTTTTGTGAAGGCCAACATCACAGCCACAACTCTATGTAACAAACACATCTATATATACCTTTACAGCCTTTACATCTCATCAGCCAAGTCACAAGACAATACATCGGAAATCATACGAAATACATCCCAGAGGCTTGCTCGCATAGCTGCTTGGCCGATCTGAGCGTCTGAGAGGTAGTGACCACAGTGACCACGATGGCCACAGTGACCATGAACTCGTTTTGTTGATGGACGCAGCTGTGCAACAGGCTCCACGTGTACCTCCCAAAGCCTCACGTCTCTATGACAGTTGCCCGGCAAGGCATGCCAAGGCAACAGCTGCAACAGCAAAGTGGCATCACTTCGCACATGGAGATGCTAAGGTTATTTGGCGTCGCACGCAGCGTCTTCCAGCATTCTGGATGGGTGACAGCAAGATGTGTTGAAAAAAACCAGGGTCAATTTTGGCCGCTGATTCAAGAGAAAATGGCGTGTGAAGGCGGGGATGTCATAAGGCGAAGCTGCTTGCCTGCCGTTTTGAAGATCACTTTTGCAGGACTTTCGAGTTCTTCCACCTTAGAATCTTCCAAGTTTGCGTTTGCTGTCGGTGGTTGTCAGAAACAGGAATTCTCATCTTACTGCAGCAAAATGTGATGAGTTTTTATTTTACGCGTGTGTGGAAATCGGACTTGCACGTTTACTGCGAGTGTATTTTCGTACCCGCACATTGTGCATTTTTTTTGGAAAGCGCATTTTTGGACTGCACCTGTGGAAACAAACATCACATTTTTGCTGCAAGTGAATTTTGGCAGCATATGTTTTCCTAAGGTCGAGCGTACTTTAATTGTTTTAAGACAGTTAGTCTCTACCGGGTTTGGAAATTTCAAGGCAAGTGCTTTGACTTTTGACTGTGGTCATGCAGCCTTTGCGGACGCATCTTTCCCGACACACAAGGGCTTCAACTGGGCAGACAGTGCTCACCTAATTTTCCGCCAGTAGACCTGTAGCAACTCCCAGGACGCTCCAATCATGCAGTTCATGGGTATGATGCTGCATCGAATTACAGAACCATGGGGACCGCTCCTCAAAGGGATGATTGGGAATGTCTGAAACGTTTCGAACGTGGGGTACTGTGGGATCTAAAGATCAATACAGTGTTTAGTTGACGAGACTGCAAGCGTCAGGCGGACCCTGGGACAATTGTGTTGCCTACATCGCGCTACTGCACGTCTTCAGTGAAAGGCAGCTAAAGGATGTGGCAATTTCAAGCCGCCTCAAAATGAACGACACTGTCTTGCAGAATATGAATCACAATCAGCAATGAATGATGACTGCTGGTGGAACTGTGGCAGTAAGCTGTTGATGTTGTTGGGAAGCCGCGTGACATGCCCGTCGCTTACAGATCCCTGTCTGAAGCATTTAGATCATTTAGGCTCTGGCCTGTGATCTCAACCAGCTCAGATCCCATGGTTGGCTGCCAAACATGTTGGGATAAAATTTCGCGCTGGCTCCCAATGTATATTAAAATCACCACAGTCTTTGCGTACTGGGGCCCGACTTGCAGGGCAATCGAGCCAGGAAAAGCCTGTGACTCTTGTTTTGCCTGCAGTCGCAAGAGGCGAACAGTTGCCAGGGACATCATTCTTTTCCAGCAGCTGGCAGTACCGCTGTGGCCACCTGCAAGCTCAGGAGGACTGAGACGGGACACCAGCGGCAAATGCGGACACCAGCGAGCGGCGCAAGCGGCCGCCTCTGCATACTGCAATCTGCGCGCAGGGTCAAATCTTTGGCCGGTCAAGGAATACTATCAACGCCTGCACCAGGCTTTGCCCAGTTTGCAAGATCACAATGTCTCCAGCTGGAACGTCAGGATCCCATTGGGACTTTCCATGGAGTCAAAACGACTATTCTTGGCTTTCTCGCCTTCTGCTCAACTCCAACTGCAAGCTCGTTTGAACGTGCTCAGATGAGGGGCAGTCGTGTGTGCAATATCTAGGTCTCTGGGACATTGATTTTGGGCAGCGGGCAGCGCCAAAATTTTGCATGGTGCAATTTATCAAAGCACTTTAACACATGCACTTCATCAAGACATATGTGCTACCTGTGCTTCCTGCAGCTCCGAGAATGATTGTGTCAGCATGCTATTTTTCCTGCGGGGATGTGGTATTTGCTTGCGAGTGTTTGGCAGCTCTAAAGTCAGGACATGTGGGTGACAGGGTGACGCGTGCTTTGCCTGTGGACATTACGCGCGTGCCATGTGCTTTAATTGTTTGGGCAAGGATATGACAGCACAAGGCGGGGCAGCTGCAAACCACACAAGGACCTTCGGGTAACCTGACCTAAATGCGGCACAGGTCAAAAAGCTAAGTGAAATCGCATCTGAGTTTCTTCTAATTATTTGGATGCCTTTGCATTTTTATTTTATTTGACTCTCTTGTATGCGACTCACTTAAAATTGCAAAGTCGAGACAATAACAAAATATATAGTAAATCCACATTCACTTGGCAACGCTTGATGCTGTAAAACAAAACGAAGCCAGATGCCAAACCAGTCAGCTTTGTCTACAACGATGACGTTCTGCTCCAGGATATTTGTTCCCTGGTCATTCTGGACCAGGGGTGGGAGGGCTCAACAAAGATATCCAGTGGACTTGCTAGTTACAACAAGTTACAACTTCCATGGGACTTGCTGCCAAACTTGCCCTGCCGACATTCACAGACTTCCAGGGATTTCCAGAGCAAATGCGGACACCAGCGAGCGGCGCAAGCGGCCGCCTCTGCATACTGCAATCTGTGTGCAGGGTCAAGTCTTTGGCCGGTCAAGGGATACTATCAACGCCTGCACCAGGCTTTGCACAGTTTGCAAGATCACAATGTCTCCAGCTGGAACGTCAGGATCCCATTGGGACTTTACATCGAGTCAAAACAACGCTATGGCAATTGCTTTGACTGTGGTCACGCAGCCTTTGCGGACGCATCTTTCCCGACACACAAGGGCTTCAACTGGGCAGACAGTGCTCACCTAATTTTCCGCCAGTAGACCTTGTAGCAACTCCCAGGACGCTCCAATCATGCAGTTAATGGGTATGATGCTGCATCGAATTACCGAACCATGGGGACCGCCCCTCAAAGAGATGATTGGGAATGTCTGAAACGTTTCGAACGTGGGGTACTGTGGGATCTAAAGATCAATACAGTGTTTTAGTTGACGAGACAACAAGCGCCAGGCAGACCCTGAGACAATTGTGTTGCCTACATCGCGCTACTGCACGTCTTCAGTGAAAGGCAGCTAAAGGATATGGCAATTTCAAGCCGCCTCAAAATGAACGACACTGTCTTGCAGAATATGAATCACAATCAGCAATGAATGATGACTGCTGGTGGAACTGTGGCAGTAAGCTGTTGATGTTGTTGGGAAGCCGCGTGACATGCCCGTCGCTTACAGATCCCTGTCTGAAGCATTTAGGCCATTCAGGCTCTGGCCTGTGATCTCAACCAGCTCAGATCGCATGGTTGGCTCCCAAACATATTGGGATCAAATTTCGCGCTGAGCGATGGTGGATCAAGTTGTTGCCCCCAATTTCAAGTCCCAATCATCTAGGCAGCGCGAAAAATATTCAATCCTTGGGCATAAACGGAACCGATATGAATGATGAAATTCCAGCGCATGACGTATAAATAGATAAACGTTTTTTTTGAGGTACCTCAAATGAAAATCCGAGGCCTGACATGGTCAGCCATCCTAATTTTGGATCATGACATGTGAGGTGGAGGGAGATGAGCATCTGGGAATCAACACGAAAATGTCCGCAATTACACGGACAGAAATTTGGGGAGTATGTGCAATGATGGCTATTTTTTGGGCGAG